TTATGTTTTTCCATTTAGTTGAATTGTATATTTTATTTATCCTTTGCTTTATGATTGGTTCGAAAATTGACCTTGGATAGTTGTTTATTAATAATAATTTTTTATTTTATCAAGATTTTTTGTTCTATACTCCCAATGTAACAATTTAATGCCTCTATCTGTAAGTGCCGTTATTACACTTTTTTATATTTCATTGAAGCGTACGATTCCATGAAATGATACAGATTAAAAAACATAACAATTCTAGTCTCTTCCCAAATTTGATTGTCCTGACTAATCACCTGTTAGGCCTAATTAATTTTATAATGTTTTAAAGTGTTGCAATTGTGATGTATTTTAGTGTGTGATATGATGAGGCTGTTGACGAACTGTGGTTGTTTTTTAAATTATTTTTTTAAAAATTTTAACTCTGTTATTTTAGAAAAACTGATGATGGTGGAAAAATACACCGAAACGTATACACGCTTACACTGCCTTCAATCAAACCACTTCTGAAGATGCAAGCCACTCGTGCTTGCGAAACGTCAAGAAGAAATTCTACCGAACGATTATGGAACCTAAAAACCCGAAAAAACCCATTATTTTCAAGGAATGGCCTCGAAAGTCTGTCTCTCGTGATAGTATTGTTAGGATTTACTGTATGTGTATAGTTGAACTTAGTATTATAACTTCCTAGTGTAAAGTACCGACTCATTAGTACCTCGCTACCCACTAGTAATAAAAAAACATAACACAAATCACCAGATCACACCGTTTATTTGGGTATTTTGCCTCCAATTACCCATGTAGCATCATATATCGGGTATATATTTATACTATTTATAATATTGGCAGAGCATTTTTATGTTGGGTCAATATTGTCAATTTTATTAGCCAATATTACTCCAATATTAGAATAGCTTTTTTGACCAATATTGATGTATCTATACAAATAAAATATTGGCAAAATATTTCTAATTTCAAGTATTGCTTGAAGATTAACAGGCAATATTGTATAGCAATACTATGCCAATTAAACGTTTTCGATATGATTAATAATCATAGAATCTCAGTAGGTAATAATTATTAATAATATCTTACGGCCTGATTTATAATCAAAGTTAAAGTGTTTATTTCTTAAATTGTTAGAGAAAAATAGAAACAAGAAACCGGTTGCAAATCTAGTTGCGTACTATATAGGTTAGCGTTGTGTACTTATTTGTACCTACCTAAATAGTAAATACTTCGGTGTTTTGTGCCTGATTTTGTGCAATAATCTGTAACTCAACATGTAAGTACATATTATTATTACATAAATATAGTGATAGGTATCTT